ATGCGTGATCAAAACCAAAAGTTTCTGTGATATGACTGCCCTTGCACTATTCACCATGTAAGAACCTATTCACTATGTAAGACCTTGTTCACCATGTAAGAACTTGTTTGTTATGCTTCAGAAGATTGGAGACTGTTGTGATACAGGCTTGGGGTTGATTAATGACTGTGCATTGAGTCCCCTATACAGAATTTTATTATTGTTAATGACCATTTGATCAATAAATATGAGAGATGCCCTCTCAAAAAAAAAATCAGTATTATTGTCATTGCCACAGTCTTGACAAGAGTATAAACCCCAAGGGTTAAACTGTTATGTGAGATGTTCTGCATTTCTAGTCAATGTGTAAAAACAGGAAAAATCTAGCAAAAGATAGTGCTACATAAATGTGGATTTTTTAAAGTTTGATTAAGTTATTAGAATTAGAAGCATATCTTAATTTTTTAATATGGGGATTTATAGTTCATCCTTAGAATTATAAGCAAATTAAATCCTTTTCAGAATTATTTTAAAAAGGAAAAAAGATACAGTTGCTATTCAAGAACAACATTCTATGAGTTTTCTTAATAGCTGCTTAAAATACAGGATATGATCTTCAATTACTAAAAATCCAAACTAATAATGAAGGAAGTGAAAGAACATGTTTATAAGTAAAAATAAAGCATGTGTGTTACTGCATAAACATTTTTATCATAGTATAATACATTCAAAGTACATTTGCTCCAACAAATACAGCACTTACTGAAAGAACAAAATCATCAGTTTGGAAGGAATATTAAGAAGATTGTTAAAAGAGAAAAAATAATGAAAAGTTTATTGCTTGGTAATAAATCTAAGCAGCATTACTTGATAAATTAGGTAACAGGCAGAAATGCAGCAAGTGTATCTTAAAAACAACTGAGCATAATTAAAATAGGCATAATATTTTTAAATATAAAAATGAAGCTTGTTATGTAAAGACTGAACTGGTAACAATGATGGCTTTGTTCACCCAAGGAATCGTAGAATCCAAGATCAAAAGAAATATATTAATGGATTTAGGGGAAAAGATAGGTTGATCATAGAAGAACAAGGATATATACAAATCTGTGAAGACTAGATGAATGCACAAAAAAATATGAGAATTGGGAAAGAAAAAAAAGTAAAGTTAAAACAGATGAAGGGGTGAAGTGGGGACATACAGACTTATTAGGGAACCATTAACATGGAAAAGTCTTTCTGATTATATGAGGAACTATTGAGAAAAATACATGTATACTGAATATAACTAAAGGAGGAGATTTCGATTAAATGCATATGGAACACAGCTAATCAGTGGTAAACAGTTACTCAGGAGACACTGACAATAACATGTGACTGTGATCCCCAGAAAGATAGAAGACAACATGGGAAGAAGCCCATACTTCTGCCTCTTTTGAGCATTAGCAACTCTAATTCTCTTCCTCTTGACTTTACCTTATTCATTGCTAAGTATTTCTTACCTCAAAAACCTCACTGTCTTTTAGGTTCTAGCCACAGTGTTTCTCTCTTCACTGAATTAATCCAATATTTTTGGGATGTAAAGAGTCTTAAATTAGCATCAATTTCAAAGCTACGTAAAGAAAAATGTATGCTTTACTACAATATATTACGTTGTGTGAAGAAATCCAAGATGGCTTTAAGAAATGGTGAAATCTGGGTTTTAAATGATGACTATGACCTCACCATGGCTCACAAAAGCACTTAAATGTCTGATGAGTGAATGAGTTGGGCAGGAAGGGTAGGAGAAGGGCATTTAAGCACAGGAAGACAGTTAACAGTAACAGGGCATGGAGATGCCAAAGATAAGATGTTTAGAGTATTTAAGGATTGTGTGGGGGAGGTAGAAGGTACATGGGAAGTACATAAGAAGGACAGAAGATCAATAAGGGACATGCCTGTCATGCAATGCTAAAGAACTGGAACACTTTCCAAAAGCAATGGTAATCAAAGATTTTTTTAAAATCAAGGCATTATGAAAGACGGTTTTGTAAAAATAATTACAGCATAGCAAAGACAGAGGAACTAGAGACTGAGCACTGGGAAAGTTAAGCAGCAACAGTTTAAGCAAGAGATAAACAAGGGCTGAATTAAGACAATAGCAGTGAGGACAAAAAGGATGTGATAGAACAGTGAATCTTTTAGGAAACTAAAGACTTTCGTACTACTTAGATGTAGAAAGGAAAGATGGCAAGGAGAGAAGAGATGAGGACTACTCTGAGCTCCTGGCTTGAGAGACAGGATAGATGTGGATGCAATCTAAAAAATTTCTAAGAGTATTAAATGAAGAAAAGTTTGGTGATTTCATCAAGTTTCATTCTGTGTTTGCAGTATCACTGGTCAACAGAAGTGTGTAATAAAAGTCAAACTCAGAGAAATAGCAGGAGCTAGAAGTCATTAGCATATAAGTAAGATTCAAAGCTGGGGAAGATTAGAGAGACCAGAATAGGCATAATAAACCAGGGAATATGATCAAGTAAAGGATCCTGGGGATCAACATGTACAGAGAGTAGGCAGAGGAAACAGAAGGTGAGAATGAGAATGAGAACTGGTCAGTTATAAAATGAAAACAGAACGGGTTGACAGTAAAAACCATGAATTGAAAATATTTTAAGACTGGTCAAAAATGGCTGCAGTGAATGCAAACAAGGCAAGGACTAAAACTGGCCAATGGATCAAGAACGTGCTGTGATCTTGAAGCAAGTTTATGGAGCATGGTGGAAGCCAGTGGAAGCCAGACTAACTGGATTGAAGTAAAGACAATGTGTATAGAATGCTTTTGATGGTGGAGAAAGAAAAATGATGTAGCAGTCTGGAAAGCAGGAGGAATTGAGAAAATATTCTAAGATAAAGAGATTTGAGCACACTTCTAAGATGTGAGGACAAGATGAACATAGAGAAAGATACTAAAAAGACAAGAGAGAGAGGAAATAGAAACAAAAGATTTGTAGATTGAATGACTGAGATTAAAAGGACAGGTCAAAGATTAGTCTTAAAAGTATAGTATATCTAAACCTCTCTGTTAAGAGAGGTGGGTGGAGATAGAATAAGCAGCTAAAAAAAAGTATACATAAAACTTTAAAGAGTAATTTTAAAATATTTTATTGTGATACTTACTAAGTTGGAAAGGGTTCAATTATTTTAAGCTGAAATTCTGAAAAAATGTAAATATTCGACAACCTATAAAGCTCTTAAAGCATAAGGTGCATATTCATTTACAGGTATCCAATTCTTTGATAGTTGGTGTTATGCCACTTCTCTTTTACAAAAGACCTACATCAGTACCTGTTTTCACTAACCAAAAGAAATCCATAGAGATTTTAAGTTTTACAAAAATGAGGCAAAAAGTGAAATTAACATCTAGTGTGTGTTTTGCAATGAGCCGTTATAGATAGTGGGGAAACCTGTATTTACCCTACACTATGTACTGGGCACTGCTGCATCCTGGCCTCTGCATCCAGCTAACAGTGAAGACAGAATCCCTGCCTGTCAAGAGCTTATATTCTAGAAAAGTCAGTTGCTTAACAACCTTATGTTAAAGTTAATTAACCAAACAGTGTATAGTGTACCCAATGATCATTTATACATTGAGGACTAGAAGTATTACACAATAAACAAAATATATTTAGCAAAAATGTCTTCAAGAAAAACGTTTTCACCATTCCTTACTTAATCAATCTGGATGACACCTATTTATGGCAGTCCCTTGATAAACAAAACAAAACTGAAGCATAAGAGTAGTTATATCACCTTATATTCTCTTTGCTTTCCTTGGTGGCAAAGAGCATATACAGTAAGTACTTTACAAGTATACCAACCTGGCAGTTCCATCAGATGATGAAGTAAGGATATAACGATCATCTTTTGACCAGCAAAGATCATAAATGATATTGAGGTGGCCACACAATTCTCTCATGAAACGCCCAGAAGGAATTTCATATACTAATAAAAATATTAAAAAATCAGGTTTTCAGATAAATGATCTTTAATCTAGTAATATACAAATTCATAATTCATAATAATTTGTACATAAGCACTAATTGTAAGAATATTATCAGCAAAGACATTTTTAGTATAAAAAACTTCAAAATCTACTTAAAAAGTTTTTCATTTGCTTTAGACACAAGAATTTATAGTTTTATAACATGCTTCAATTAACAATTATTCTCATCTCTACAAAGCAATTCTCCTAATAATTTTTGATAATTGATTAATCAAATAATAAGTTAACATTTAAATTTCAATTCACTTCAAAGATTCTATAATTTGGGCTTTCATGAATAAGGTATTATTTGACCTGAAAATCAGTTAAATTACAAACAACTAAATTTTTACTTATTTGCAGTAAGAAGAAATTTAAATGGTGTTGTCAGAAAAAAATTCTAATACTAAATGATAGGTATACTAAGGGAATTAACAGAGGCCCAATCTGATAAACAAGGCAGTGTGGTATAGTCGTATGTTCAGTTTACAATGAAATCTTCTAAGATAATGAATGACCCAACACAGAATAACAGAATTTCAAGTCTCTACTTCCACCTAGTGGTAAAGCGGATTGCCATTTAAAATATTAAGCAGTACAGAAGAACTGTATAGCAAAACAAGGGCCTTGGGAATTCTGCTCCCCCATAAAAGCAATGACATCACTGGCAAGAACTGTCAAAATTAATTTTTTCAGAACACTGGACATTAAAGGCTTCTAACAACCTGAGGAGCATTTGTTCAAGAAAAACAGCTGAATCTGGGTAAGAATACTAAGTTTTGTGGTGTTTTAACTTGCTGTGTACCCATTTGCCTCTCCTAAGCTCTAAAGTAACCTTGAAAACCAACAACCTGGCAACTACAAGGAAAATCAGCAGCCTAGCAGCCATGGGATGGGACAGAAGAGGTCTGAAGCTCCCCAAAAGCCCCACCCCCAAGATGTATCTAATAGGATGAAGTCTGGCAGCTCCACAAGGTGCCACACTCTTCAGAGTTTGGCTTTATTTGACCTGGTTCAGAGAGCACACTGTGAACAGCCTGAACCCTAGGGTGTCTGCTGAAATAATCAGTGACACAGCTTCTGAGGAAGTGACACCAGCTGGAACTAAGAAAAGGTTGATCAAAAATCCCAAAAGGAAAAAGTTGGCAATAGGTGTTTATAGGGTACTTTGAAAAGCTCCAACATATTCCTAGGAATCTAGAAGGACATATGCATGTGAAGGAAAAGAACCTAAGAGGCCCTCTATTACCCTGGCTGACCTGAGGAGGCTCTATGACAACAGGAAGTGGAGGCTGCCTGCTGAAGTGTTGCCTGTGTATCCTGACACACACACACAGAGCCCCTCGGCAAAGACTGGTAGAGTTGTTCACTCAAGGCATTTAGAAGTTTCTAACCATTAGCTGACCAATAAAGGAACTGAGCAGAGACTTCAGGCAATGCATAGCTAAAGAATAAGAACTACAGATTTAGTCTAGGAAGTTCACTGAACAAATAGCAACAAATCCTGGGTGGCTGGGAGAAAAAGGGAAAATCTGATTTCCAGAGTTGTCACATGTTAATACTTAAAATACCCAGTTTTCTACACAAATTAGGAGACATGACAAAAACAAACTAGGTAAGTATGGCCATACACAGGAAAAAAAGCAGTCAATAGAAACTATCCATGAGGAGGACTAGACACTGGTCTTCCTAGACAAAGACTTTAACTGCATACTTTTAAATATGTTCAAAGATCTAAAGAAAACTGTGTCTAAAGAATTAAGATATGAGAATGTTTCTTATCAAAAAGGTGAATAGCACCAAGAAGCAGAAATTATAAAAAAAAGAAAAAAGACCAAATAGAAATTCTAGAGTTGAAAAGTACAATAACTTAAATAAACAATTCACTAGAGGGCTCAATAGCTCAAAACAGATTTACACTGGCAAGGGAATCAGTAAACCTGAAGATAGGTCCATTGATAAAATGCGTTTGTTAAACAGAAAGAAAGATAATGAAGAAAAATGAATAAAGCTGCAAAGACCTGTGGGACACCACCATGTATACCAACATAGGACTGATGGGAGTCTCAGAATAAGAGAAAAATAGAGAGTGGCACAAAGAACATTGAGAAATAAGGACTGAAAACTTCTCAGACTTGTGAAAAGCATTCACATGCAACAAGCTAAACAAATTCCAAGTAGACACATCATAATCAATGAAAAAAATCAAAGAACAGAATTATTGTTTTTTTGAGATTTAAGCAGTAACTACATCTAAGGTTTTACATTTTTAAACAAGTTGTTTTTAAGCATAAAGTAACGTAACACAGAAATGCTGAAAATACATAAATTAGAACAAAAATAAATAATTTTTTTTTACTGTCCATTAGAAGTAACTATTAACATTCTAGAATATGTTTCCTAAGATTCTTTGTTCCCCTATGTACAGGTTTTGGTGAAATTTAAAAATAGCATAGTTGTAATCAAACTAAACAAGTCAGTCTTTTTTTTTAAAGCTGACATTATTTCACAAGGAGGATTATTCATTCTAACTAAATCAATTATGAGTCCCTGCTGAAAACGAGTAAACTACGCAAGGAATAAAGTATGTGAAGCTGAAGAAAGTTCAACATGATCTAGTGCTTAGGACAGATGCCCATGAAGAGTTGGCTACTTTCTGCTGAGGTGAGCTGCTTTTCATTATTAAGCAAGAAGTATAATGCCTGTAAGTCTAGAAGAGTATGATAATACTCACTTAAAAAATCACCAAAGCTACACAGTAATTTTTCTTTATATTGGATTTTTTGCCTCTCTGCTGACTTCTTTATCATAATGAGAAATCCTCATCTAGTTACTCCTGAGTCAGTTATTATTGTTCTACTGCATAACAAATTTGAGGGTTTTTGTATTTCAAATGATCACGGCTCTACACAGACTGCAATGGACTAAAATTCCTCATGACATTTACTAAACCTTCGTGTTTCTAAATTTCTATGTTTAAAACAGAAAATGCTTACAAAAACCCTCACTCATGTTTTAAAAATAATTTATCATCCTTCATGTGATCATTCTAATTCTGAACATATAATGTATAGGAAAGAATGAAATTATAAAAGAACTGCTACTTTACTTGAAGTCATCTATTTTCTGTAATTTAGTATTACTGTGGAATCATTAGAATATCAATGAATTCTAAAAACAAAGAATTTCTTCCATATAGACTTCAAATAAATTAAACAGATAGGATTATGACTCACAAATAATTGGATATCCATCCCGGCTGGCACAGGCTGCTGCTAATATTCTTCCATTGTGAGAGAAAGCAAGACAAAAACATCCTCTTTCTCCTGCATTTAGTGAGAAGAGGTGCTTGTTTGGAATACGACAGGCCTAAAAATATATGTTTATAAGTTAAGCAATGTTAAAATACAAAGACTAGTTGTTAATTTCAATTACTGTAGTGGTGGAGTTTTTAAAAGTCCCTTTATCATGATGCAGAGAAAGAGAAAAACAAGTAAGCAGAAATGATAGAAAACAAAAGTAAATTATTTTACTTTTTAAATGGGGAATTGGTTTTCCATAAAATTAAATTTTTATTCTATATAGTTTTTATATAGCCATAAAAGCCAATGTGTGTCACACCCTTCTTCCATGACAGCAACTAATTAGTGATTTTTGCTGAGCCATAAGCTTATTCTGAGATCATGACTGCCCTACTATAGGGCCTCACTAAAGCCCAGGATGTATGAATGTTCATTCTTTTTTTCCTCTTAAAATAAACATCACTTGTGGCTGCCTTCTAAAATGTATCTTCAAAGTAATCAATAAACTCTGATTGGTTTCTATTCACTAATTTTATTAAAATGTCTTGTGTTTCCATGTTTTCATTTCCTATTACTAGGTGAAACTAAAACTTTCCATGTATTAATATCTATTGTAAAAAATACTACTTAATTTGTCCTGTATCTCCTCCAACTTCAGGGAGCCTTAGTTCCTGTGTCTTTTATAATTTGAAAAGTTCTATTAACCATATACTGGGCTCTTACTATATGCTATGAATGTGATATTTTATTATAAATGTCTTTTCATATGTTTATCACAGCAACCCTGAGTAACCATTATTACTATATATATGTATGTGTGTGTCACACACACACATACATATATATATACAGCTAATAAGGATTTTTTCAGAGGGACAGGCCTAGCTTAAGGGGCCTTGGTCAAAGACTATTAATTCAAGGGCCTGCTTTCTATATAGGTACCAGGCTTTTCACACGTAGCATCACGATTTGGCAGCATTATGAATGACTACAGAAAAGGTACAAAATTCAACATTTATCAGGTGCCAAAAATGGACAGACACCAAGCTGCCCATCTTTTTTCTCCATTCTCCATCCATTGACTTAGAACAGGGAGTGGGAGACAAAAAAAGGACGAAAACTGAAGGAAAAGTCTGGAGGTTTTATAACGCTGCTGCTTCTGGAGCAGGAGGTATAGTTGAGGAAAACTCTGCCTAATCACCTAAGCTAAAATCACTGAAGCCTCTATCACTTTCTTTGTACTCCCAGGGTTTGACACTCTGCCCAGAAGAGGCACTCAATGAAAATTTAACAACAATACAGGTCAACATCTTTGACACTTCCCCTTTATTACTTTATCAATCGCTACATTATGCTAATTTATTCTTTCTTTCGCTTATATTCAGCTCTTACTTTTCACTTTTGCCACCAGTACCCTAAGGTTAGACCCTTTCCACTTCACACATCAATGAGTACAACTGCCATCTAGTTGGTTTCTCACAGTCGGATGTATTCTAACTCAAGATCTCCTATATGTCATTGACAGCATCACTTTGTTCTAAAATATAATTGCTATCACACTTCTCTCCTATCCAAAAACCTTTCATTAATTCTCACATCCCGTACATACCATTTGAGACACTCACAGTGTGGACCTGATCTATCACACCACTTTATCTGTTTTTGAAAGCCTGATGAATACAACAGGTTCTTCCCTATTTATTCAGAACCTTGTTCCATATGAAATAGCCTTCCCTGACCCCCAATTTGGCCACCATTTAATGTCTACCTAAGCTCCACCAGCCTGTTGACTGAACCTTTCTTCTACCACTCCAGTTCACCTTCTTCATAATTCAATTCTCAAACTGTCTCAGTTTTGGGATGCTCTACCATCTTAAAAAAAATTTGAGGATTCCAAAGAACTTTTATGTGGCTATATGCATGAATATTTATCATGTTAAAAATTAAAGTGGACAATTTTTAAAAATGTTTATTAATTCATCTAAAAAACAGTAGTAAACCCGTTAAGTATTAACAGAGTCTTTTTATTGAAAAATAACTATGTAAAATGGAATTGTTCTACACTTTTAAATCTCTTGATTATCTGACTTAATAAAAGATAACTAGGTTTTCAGATTTGGTTCTGCAGCCACTCTCTTGGTGTTATGACATACCATTTAGCTTCTGGAAAACACCAGTGGATACTTGTAAGAGAATGAAAGTGAAAGTGACAAACTGCATCATTAAGAAATCACCAGTCATTATGATTCTATTATGAGAACAGGTTGACTTCACAGACCTTCCCTGAAAAGGTCTCAGAATTCCCAGCAGTTCTCAAATCACAGTTTGGGAACTGTTGATTTATACAATAATTCTTACACCTGTGTTTTCTCAAGAGCTCCCTGCAGCATACCTGACACTGAACATTTTAACTGTTTTCTATTTCCACAACTGATGGGGCGGTCCCCAGGGACACAGTCTAATATTATTCTCTCCATATTACTATATTCGAAGCATTTAAAAATAACTTTGAGATATGTCTGTAAAAGTGCCCTGAAAAAAATGGTCAAATGTTGATACAAAACACAAAAAGTGAAAAGGTCTAAGGAAATAGTCATTCTTATGTATAAATTGAATGTTTGGACAAACTAATTTTGGATAAATTACATTTGGTAATTGCTCAGATCTATAAAATGAACCACTTCATTCTTTGTTGAAACGAGAGATTTGCAAAACTGTTATCAGCAATACTTCATGTTACTGCAAAATATGCTAACCAAGACAACTTCAGTGAAGGCTTAAATACTGCTTAACTTGTGGCAGGACATACATGTACATAATCTATCAAAATGTGATTCAGGAGGAAGGCAGGGACCATAAAAATCTTCATGAATACATTTTAAAAATCCATTTTTAATTAATAAATGCTTTTTATTAATAAAATCCATTAAGAGACATAACTCTTACAGACATCAATATTGTATGTTTTTTTACTGCTGTTATGGGCTGAACCGTGTCCACCAATATCCATATTTTGAAGCCTTAACCCCAGTACCTCAGAATTCAACAGTATATAGTAATATTTAGAAAGCTGATTAAGTTAAAATGAAGTTATTACTGTGGAGCCCTAATCTACTAAGGTTGGTATAAAAAGAGAAATAGACACCAGGGATGTGCACGCACAGAGAAAAGGCCATGAGGAGGCAGAAAGATGGAAGCACCTGCCAGCCAAGGAGAAAGGTGTCACAATAAACCAACCCTGCCAAACCTTGATCTTGTGACTTCCAGCTTCCAGAAATATGAGAAAATAAATTTCTATTGGTTAAGCTACTCAGTCTGTGTTTGGCAGCTCTAGCAAATTACTAAAACTGCCCAGGCCCAAAGAACCTAAGATAGTGCTTTTATGCAAATGATAGGCACTCCACTATTATTTGTTGAATGAATTAATGGAATGACAAGACTGGGTTAAAAACAAGGATAATCTGAGAGTTTTAAGTAGTAAGCTAGTTACCCAAGGAGCTGTTGGCATTTTTAAAGTAAGTAAATATCTAAATGGACCCAGTATTATTAAACTCTTCACCTGCCCAGGCAGTCGTTTCCAATTTACTACTTCCTTTGAATCTTCCAGTCCAGGTTCTGTATCTGTTGAACTTGGTTCACAATGTCGTTCACAATACACTGGTTTACCTTTTTCCTCCTGAAGAGCCATCATAGAACGGTAAGATGGCTTTATCTAAATATGTATAGGAAATGAGAAAATTTATGTTTATTTTTTTCCCTTTTCTAGCCTATATGGTTTAAAAAATATTGATCCAAACAATACAGAAATGCTTTCAAAATGCAATTCAGAAAAAATTCTACCTTTATTTGTATACTACTCTAAATAAAAGTTGCTTAAAATATAGTACTATAACCAAAAAACTCCTAAAATTTGGAAGGAAAAAAAACAGAATTCCAAAGGTGACATGGAATGGCTTTAATAGCTGTCCCTTGATTTCTGTTTCTTCCTCAACACCCATCAGATGTCATGGCTCTCAGATAACTATGGTACCTCTAGCTTTAAAATCACAAAACTAAAATATAAAGATCTAAAATTTCTTAAATCCTTCATATCTTAAAAACAAGATTTAACTAAATTCAAATAAATGCAAATCAACCCTGTGATCACAGTTTATGATATCAGTGACAGGATATGAAACAGGCCTGAAATGTCTTACAGCAAAAAAGACAAAAGCAAAAGTTTACCCCATTTTAGGACCAATTCTTTACTAAAATTATTCACAATTTTAATCTATGGAAACAGCAGTAGAAATATTATTCACTCATTATTTTAATAATATTGTGAAAAATGTGCCTGTAATCATGGCACTGCAAACCATGGCCCAGACTGTATCTAGCCCACTGTTTCTGTAAATAAAGTTTTACTGGAATGCAACCACAACCCATTTGTTTAGTTACAGCTTACATATGCCTATGCAGCTATTTTCACCCTATGAAAGCAAGTTGAGTAGTTCTGACAGAAACTGTATGTGCTGAAAAGCCTAAAATATTAACTGACTGGTCCTTTATGGAACTTATTTGTCGACTTCTGCTTTAAATTATTCTTTTATTTATAATTTTTAAAAACTATAATTATTTTTGAAAAAATTCCTAACACTGAAATATATTTAGCACGTAAAATTCATTTAAGTGTCTTTTAAGTATCAGCTATTACAAGCTTAATATATAATCTCTTAAGGTACCTTTCTATTCTAGGAATATATTAAAATAATTCTAAAGACCTTACCTTTTTAGAAATGGAAAATATGTCACCATTTAATCTCAACAAGAGGAAATATATTTACATATGCTCTTAACTTACACATTCAGGAACTTTCAGTCCTCTTACAGTTACATACAATGTTGATGGATAACGATTTCTTGGACATTTTGACCACCATTCAAAAACCTCAACAACATTTAATTGGGATCGAGGTTTAGAAGGTGGGTAATACAGCTGTAGGCGAAGTTTTGAATTGATGTTTACATTCCCATTAGCTCCTAGAAGCTTAAAATAAGAATTCAAATAAAATATTATCTTAATTGAAAATAAATATATTCAATAACACAATAATATATAATCAAACGCTAATTTTAAAAAGAGTAATATGGCATTGGAAATCCCTTAGATTTATCAAGCAAAGAACACTGACACCACTGTATAACCCAAGTGATCTTCCTGATGGCTGTCTTCTTGCCCATACAACTTCAGACTGCTACTAACACATTTACATTACTGTGCCAGATGTAATAGTTATGCAAAAGGAGGTGATCAATACACCTTTTGTTTGAATAATAATGACAAAGATTAAAATGCCTATTATTTAAACACAGAAACAAATTTTTCATTTGTTTAGAATCAGCATTTTTAATGGTAAAATTTTACAATGTTCTGGTTTTTAAAATGGGAGATTCTTATGAGAAAAATAAAAATCTCGCCAACTCAAAACAAGTCCTATTTCACTAAATTATGACTCTAAATAGAAAATAACTTTGTTAACTTTTGTGTCCTCTACAGATTAGGAGTAGAGAGACAGTTGGGAGCTTTTACAGCAGTTCAGGTAGAACATAAAGTGACTAACTAGAAAAGCAGGGACTTAGTGCAGGGAACATACTCAGTAACAGTTAAGACTGATGCAACTTGGAGGACAAAAGAAGGGAATAAAGAGTCAAGAAGGACCCCTAAGGTAGCACTGCCCAACAGAACTTTCTGTGATGATGGGAATGTGCTATATTTGTGCTATCCAACAGTATCCACTAGCCACATATGAGTATCAAGTGCTTGATGTATGGTTAGTGCAACTGTGTAACTGAATTTTAAGTTATGTTTAATTTTAATTAATTAATTGGCATTGATATAGCCACCCTTCATAAACCCTAGCACTGTCTGCCAGAGCTCATCATAAGGTAATAGTATCATTTTATGGAGATATTATTCTCCAGCTTTTAGATCAGAATTTCTGTAAGTTGTTTTAATAATCACCTTCAATGTTTTAATAATCTAGTTTAAACTAATATGATGCTTAGCATGAGTTGTTTTAATACTTACCTTTAGATGTTTTAATAATCTACTTTAAATTAATATTATGCTTAGAATGAGTTAACAACTAAGACCCAGCTAAGATCCTGACATTATAGTTACAAATTATATAATACAGAACTTGAATAAATAAGGCTTTATTATTTTATAGTTTATATATATATATATATATATGTATACATGCTGAAATAATTGAAAGTAACTCTGGCTGGGAATTAGGATAAAGTCTTACTTATATCTGGATGAGGGTCCTTTGGGGTTCATTTGGATGACTGTAATAACTTTACAAGTATCTAGGACATTCCTGAATCCAATGGCATAGGCATTAAAAATTGAAATTTTAATTTGATTAAAGTCACTTCCTCAAAGATGAATTTTTTCCACTCATTGTTTCCACTAATTCTCTCAACAGATATTCACTGACCACTTTGCATGCCATTAATATGCTGGAAGCTCATGATATTATGGAATAGAGACTTTAAGAGAGTGATATATTAAATGCAAAGAGATATGGTAAAATAAGGACTATAAAATGTTCAACAAATTTGGCAAAAATAAGTCACTGGTGACTTTGAAAAGCTTACAGTCTAATGAAGGAAATATGTAAGTGTTAGAATAGAGGAAACATACAGAATACCTTATTTTTTATAGGGGTGGAGATGGGAGAATTCTTCATTCCCATTTCTCCCAATGGCATAAAATAAACAAATAAATAAAAATCCATATGATACTTAAAGGTAAAAATTCTATGAGATAACATAATTGCTTCCCAAGTTCAGTTTATAGAGTAAATGCTGCAGTTCTGTACAAACTTCAGCATAACGAATGAGAGCAGTTTCTAATAAGACCACAAGATGGAAATGTCCATTATGTGAAAGTGACTTTTTTTTCCCTCTAAATTAGTATGAGAGGGAATATAGAAAAAGGTGTAAAAGGTTATAGAAGGTTGATTTTAAAAGGTATATTGAGCCAAGTGATTTCTAAGGTCACTCTACAATCACTTTCGCACCACAGCCAGCCTAGTTGCCATTCAGCATTAGACGGCACAACTTCTAAAGCCTCTCTCTAACCCCCAATGTAGATTAAGTGCTTTGCCAGGGTTTTCAAGGATCTACACCAGAGCACATCATCATGTATGTACTATGCTTATTTAGAAACTGAACTGGAGAACAAGAACAATGTCTAACTTATTTATGAATGCTCTGTACTTAGCAGAGTGCCTAGTATTTCTTAGATACTTAATACATATTTGCTGAATGGAGGGATGCACAAATGGAAAAGTTTTATAAGATAGTATAAAATAGATTAATTATTCAAGATTTTTTATAACTGAAATTTGTTTGAAGTCAGAAATAAAGGATATCAGAAATAAAAGAATTATGAAATTAAAATTTCTTTTAAAAAACATTAACTTTTGCATGTCTTTCATCTCTGCTGAAACATCCAAGTTAAGCACCATCATTTTATACCTAGACTAGTCTAAGAATTTTCTATGTCAATCTTCCAGTAGATACATTTGCACCCTCTCTAATCAATTCCTACTGAGCAAAATAATTTTTCTAAAACATTAAATGTTAGACTATTTTATCCGTTTGTTTAAAACCCTAAAATGGCTTCCCATTGTTCTTTAAAACTCTATAATGGCTTCCTGTTGCTATAATGGCTTAGAAGACCAGGTAAAATCAAGACCCTGTCTTCCTCGGCAATCTCTTCAGTACCATTTTTCCCCTCAGTCTCTGTCCTCCAATCTCCATGGCCTTATTTTGGTTATCTTAGTATGCTCTATTCTTTCTAACATTAGGGTCTTTGCATATACTGTACCCTTTACCTGTAACTCTCTCTTCCCCACTGTCACTATCTAGTTAATGTTCAGGCTCAGTGTCTCTGCCTTAGGAAACCTTTCCCTGATGCCACAGGATGTGTTATCATCCACTCTGTATCTCCTCATAGTATTTATAAAAATCATAATAAATAATAAATTGTATAATCAATTGTTTTCTGTCTTTCTTGCTAGAATATGAAGTCCTTGAGGTCAAGGAGTTGGTCTTCTTTGTTCACTGACTAGAACAGTAGCCGGCAGAGAAAGGATTTAATAAATATTTGTTGAGTTGAATAAATGACAGCAAAGCTGTGTGTATCTTTTTAAGTGCTACATACTCAGAGGCAAATAGTGAACTTGGCACACACTAGGTGCTCAATAAATATTTAAGAATCTGAATCAGCATCACCTGAGCTTAAATTAATAATTCTTCACCACTGCAATCTTACCTTAGTAATCTAAACTCTTTGTATGAAATGAAACTGACTTGGGAAAAGCAGTCAGTAAGATTTGAAGATTGTTTTTAAAGTGTTTAAAAAGGATGAAAAACATACCTTGAGAAATGCCCAGGCAATTTTTCGAAAGCCACATTCTTGGTTTTGAACTTCAGTGTTATTCTTAATTTCATCCATGCTTAAGAAGTCAAGAATCTGTAAGTAAGTATAGAAAAATTATTTCACAGAATACTAATCTACCTAAAATTTAATATTTTCTAACAATACATGATTAAAATTAAAAAAAATTGTATAAAGATGTTTCCCTTACAGGGAGGAAAAACATTTTTATTTCATTTCATTCATCTTTAAGTTAACTCATTCAGTTAATGAGGGTCCATTTTTTGACCATTTTATCTTTTATTAATAATATTTCATTAAGATTTATTTCAAACCCAAGAAAAAGTTATTAATTACCTCAAATATAATCTAGGTACAAGAATGCTAGGCAAAGAATTCTTGAACTTTGACTACAGGAACACACTTGCAAGGATTGTTTAAAAAACTCATGGCCTTATCTCTGGATCCTTCCTTGATCACTTTCCTGAAGTTGGGGATTTTCCCTTTGAATATATGTTGTCACTAGGCCTCTCAAGAGGATTTCTTTCATATCCACATCCTATCTGGATATTAAAGCTCATGGATTTAAAATCAACCTTCCACAGAGACTGTCAGTATTCTAGGCACTTGTCAGACTATCACTTTGGACCTTATTGGTGCTAATCAAAAGCTCAGCTGAGATAAGAAATCTTTACAGAAGACTGCTTAACAAATAATAAACACCATTCATGCCTCTTCTTTATATACCTAAGTCTGTCTTCAGAAGTAATACATGTCCAGTGAAAAACCACTGACAATGTAAGAAAACACATGACAAAATAAAATCAACTTGTAATCCAGACCCACAGCTGATTAACATTAACATATGGTTCATAGGTTTCTAAACCTTTTTCTGTGTTCTTAAATATGTGTGTTAGTACAAATGCTATTTTGCAAACTATTTTCATATAATATGTAGTGGGTACCTCTTCAAGTCAATACATAAATATGAATATCATGTTAATGGAGGCACAGCATTTATTATAAATACCATAAATTTAATAAAAAACAATTTATTTAACCAAACCCCTTACTGATTTGAAGAGATTGGTCTCCCTAAAATTTTTGCTATTACAAAGTGTTTAAATAAATACCCTTGCACACACATCTTTATTTGGTTTTGTTATTATTCCCTTAGGAGAAATACCTAGAAGTGGAATAATGATTTCAAAGACTTCTCATTGATATTATCAAGTTGTATTCAATAAACCTTTAAAAAGTTGATATCAAAACCTTTGTATCATTAAAATGAGTATGATAGAAAATAAGTAATGACAATTTTTTGTGATAAAAAGTTTCTTGACATACAAATAATGCTATTTTTAAAAAATCACACTTTGGTATAAATCACACAACATGATCACAGATGCAAATAGTTAAATATTTGTATCATAAACCTACATAGATCATCTGAAAGTTAAGGACCACAAAAAGAAGTAATTGCAAAATCAGTCACTGGCTTTGGTCATGCCTTACTTATTCACATGCTAAAAGTCCCCATCTTGCTTAAATTGAGAGAGAGGCTTTCTCTGCTTCCCTTTGCTTATGGTGAGATCATATGAAATAGAGAAAAGATGTGGTATTTTAGTTTCAAGCTATCTTCACATACAAATTATCTACACTTAAAACTGGAGGAACCTTGGGGAAATCATTATACACCCTGAACCTTGACTTCCTTTGCAGTAAAAAATTAGAGTAACAAATTAGCTCAAAAGCCATCTACTCCATAAAGCTTTCCCTGACTACTCTGAAACTCCACTAACCCCTCACATCTAAGAAATTCTACCTCATTTGGTTATGTATTACATTGTATTACTCAAGTGATCTGTGTATGTTCATCTTTTATTTTTCTTGGTAGTACAAAACTCTTGGAGAGTCAATGAGTTTACACTTTTGTGAAATGGGTTAAGAATGGAGGATTGCAAAGGTACAGGTAAGACCCATCATTTCAGTTAGCAGTCATGGAATTGTAAAGATTAACTTAATACGGAGTAAATCAAACAGCTAACTACTTATGCTAGTAAATGGTCAGCAAATATGCTACTACTTGTATCTCTCACTTATCTCCACAGCATATTACAAACACTAAATACTAAGGATTAAGTTTTCACACTACTTTGTTATATTATTAAACTACTAAAATTAGTAGCTTACATTTGTGCTATTAAAATATTGATTAAAATTTAGTACAAATTGCTCTACTCAATTCATACCTCAAAGAACAGAATGACTTTAGGACTTTCATCAAAATCTCGAAGCAAATAAGGAAAGTTTTCATTAAATATAATTTGTTCTTCCCACTCTGGAAGTCTTGATTTTAACTGTTTAAAATCATATGGCTGGGTCATAATAGGAAGAATATAATCCACAGTTTCTTTCTCATAATAAGAAGAAACAGGGCGTTCACTGTTCAAAAAAAAATTCCATTAGTATTATTCTTTAAGATAATTTTGAGAAAAAAAAAAAGTGTTCACAGTGAGGTAACCAAAAATAATGAATAGCCATGATACATAGGGAAAAATTATTTTGATTGTCCATCTAGAAAACTGTAAGTTTATGAAACTTAAAAGTAGTAGTACTTTACTATCATCTTGCATTTATATACTAATTGTTTACAGAATCATTTTATTATAGAAATACAAAGCAAGAGGTAATGGCTATACCTTTTGCATACAGAGCTGGAATAAAGTACTCCCAAAATCTTAAAATGAATTTGTCATAATATTGTAAAGTACATTTAAATAAGAAAATGAGCACAAGATTGTAAACCCTTAGAGGTGTGCCATACTGAATAAATCAATGAATGACCTTTTTGATAATCTTTATGTTTCCCATCCCTGCCATCTTTCTGAGCACATATTTTTTTGAAGTCTAGTATAATCATTTAGGTTATTGTACTTTTTTTATTTGGGCCTTCAAGCATGTATTAGATAGAGAGTAATATTAGGAAAAAATTAAATTCAAGATTTATTTACCTCACCTGAGGCCCAAGTAACATATTTACTCCAAAAGAAAATGTGTAATTAGACAACTAAAGCATTTACAGTATAACATACAATGATTTACAGTGTAATTTAAATACCATAAATTAGTCATTAAGCTTGATAGAAGCTCTCTCAACTCCCCTCCACTTAAAATGAAGTACTGAATTAACAGATGTCCATTTCTTCTATAAAATACATGATCAATATAAATGGTTGATAAACATCTACAACTAATAAACTATCTCTAATACAAATCCATAGATACATTTCCCTTGATTTTCAAAGGCAGAAAAGAGAACTTTTACTATAGACAGTTTTGATTTCAAGGGTTGGCTATGCAATTTAAAAAATTACCTATCATCTTTCTTGACATATTGACCAGTATTCTCATCAACCACATGAATTTTTACCATCGGATGAGAAATCATAAAATTTGACTTAAGTCTATCAGTTCGGTGAATGTAAACTCCCAGGACAAGGTCATCATCGAGTAAACATTTGGGATAAACTGGACTATCTCGGTTTGTAACTTCATGAACACCATCACCGTCAGTGTCTTCATTATCATCTGAAATTGCATATATGGAAGAAAATCAACTTTACAATGGTTCCCATAACAATATATTCAACAATACATATTTAATTTACATATAACCTAATGTTTATGATCCATGATTGTTTTTGTTAACAAAGGAATTTCAAGGGATTAAAAAAAAAGCCAGACAATATCAGACTACATTCTGAGAATAAAATACTGCATTCACTAATGAATTAAAATAGGGTAAAGAATCATTCTTTTTTTCCCTAACAAGAACCAACAGTACAAAAAGAAAAAGAGGAGAGCCAAAGACAAAAAAGTAATTTTATCAAAGTATTTTCTAAGTGGAATATGTATCACTCAGTTCATTTATAACTATAATTTCTGCTTCTAGGTAGGATGTAGTTAAGTCCATGCTTCTGGTAACAACCTGGAAAAGCCAAATGCATTACAAAACTCTTACGGTTAAAAGTATCAGGAAAGTAGAGAAACAAAGTACAGTAGATGAATTAAAATTCCAGAGAGGGAGAATCATTCAGAAGCAAACAGCTGATTTAGTCTTCTGGGAACATTTGCTGATTCAGGGTATGGGCTGAGGATCAGGGTCTGGCCCAGGCCAAAGGTCACCACTACTGGTAGAAAGAGTAATCAACAAAACTTTTAGTGGCTGCATGGACTTACAGAGGTAATATTAAAGATTTGAGGGCCTCAAACACATAGCCAATTTTCTTCACAAAACTGAATTCTGAGACTGTGAGTGGCTAAAGAGGTGCTGAAATCTTCCAGCCTTAGAGTACTAAGAAACAATAACCCATCAGGGAGGAGGACCTGAAATAAAATGGGCAAAGATGAAGCCCTAGAGGGCATGCCAATTTATATATACCTACAGCCACTTTTTACCTGGGATCACTTACCAATTTTGGGCGCAGCTAGAGGTTGGGAATCCAAGCGTGGCCCCTGGCAGAAGGTCCCTACTGGGGGACAGAGAAACCAGCAGAGATTTTGGCGTTCATGTGGGGCTGGAGTGACAAAATTGGAGACTTCAGGGGCTCAAACACATGGCCAGTCTCCCTTTCAAGACATATGCCAAAGTTTGAAGCTACATGGGGTAGAAGGCTAACAAACTAAGCCAAAAGCCTCTGAAGGGCAAAACTGAATCTCCCAGTGTCTGTTAGAGCTGAAGAGACAAATACCTACCAGGGTCCCAACTCAAAACACTTGGAAGGCCACATCCTAGGAACAAGGTGAATCAGAGATAAAGTCTTACCAAAACCACAAACCAGCCCTGACCTAGCTCAATTTCTGATTGATTAACATCAGTTGCCCACCCTACCTGCCTAGGAGAGAAAAGAGGAATATAAAATCATCCAGATCCCCTAGGGTTCTAGATACAATGTCCAGCATACAATAAAAAGTTACTAGACATGAGAGGCAAAACTATATGACCAACAACTAAGAGAAAAAAACAGAAAACAGATACAGACCCAAAGATGATACAGACTGGAGTCAGCATATAAGGATTTTAAATAACTATGATTAATATGCTCAAGAAAATAAAGGAAAAGATGGACAAAATAATTTTTAAAAATGGAGACTTTCTACAGAGAACTGCACTCCACTTAAAAAAAAAAAGAACAGGCACTCTGGAACTGAAAAATACAACATCAGACATCAGACATTAAGAACTCAAAAATATGTTTAATAGCATCCTGGACACAAAGGAAGACATCATTACTGAACCAGAAGAAAGATCAATATAAATATCCAAACTGAAACATAATAAAAAAAGGAAAAGAAAACAGGGGTAAAAAAATATAAGTTACACGTGGGCATACTAAAAAAAAATGTGAATTTATAATCTAGAAAAAGAGGAGAGAATGGTAAAAAAGCCATATTTAATGAAATAACAGCCAAGAATTTTTTGCAACTGATAAACAATTTCAAACAGTAGACTCTAAGCAGGGTAAATTTCAACAAAACTGTTTTTAGGCATACCATTATCAAACATTGAAAACAAAGACACAAAGAAAATCTGAAGAGCAACCAGAGGACAACAGAAAGACAAAAAACCTGTTAAAGGGACAGAAATAGGACTGCTACGGGGTACAGAAATGATGGAAGACAAGGACAACTGTATGATTCTTTAAAGTACTAAAAGAAAACAACCAGCACCCTAAAATTCTATATAGCAAGTATGTTTTAAAAATGATGGGAAAGTAAAGACACTCTAACACAACAAAATCTAAGGGGATTAACAGGCCTATACAAAGAGAAATACTAAACTGAGTTTTTCAAGCAGATGGAAAATGGAAATTAGGGAAATGGTAAATTTGGGGATGAATATAATTTAGTATCAGCTGTACAAAAAGGTAATAACTATAGAATTTACAAGTTTAAAATATATGTAGAACTAAAATAAGTGATAAGAACCAGTAAGGCAGGAGAGGGATAGATACAGAAAAAGCACGAAATGGTGTTAAACTACTGTAATGTTCTAGCAGTGTTGGGGAAGTGTATTTTGCAAGGAATTAATTTGTATTATACTACAATAAGTAAAGGACAAACAATGTTCTCCATAGTAACAACAAAAAAATTGTAAAAGAATGTAAAATTAAGTTAATACAGGGAGAAATTTTTAAAAATAACTTGAATAATTCAAAAGAAGACAAGGAGAAAAAGGAACATAAAACAGATGGACCATACAGAAAACAAGCACTGAAAAGATAAATACAAGGACAGTGAAAGACCCAGCACATCACATTTATTGAGAGCCTGTCCCCAAGGAGCTCACAGGCTGGGACCAAGATCCCACATATGCTGGCCTGGGAAAGAAAAGTAAAGGCAAAAAGGAAGGCAATAGAGACACTGAGACCTAAGCAAATGGGGTGCAAACCAGGCACAGACAGAGAGTGTAGGGGGTGGAATGAGAGAGGAATGGAATGCTACCAAGCCCTGCCCAGACCTGGGGACCATGGACCAAGCACAGGTTTAAATGTTACCCCTCCCTCACCAGGTTGACACCACCTAGGGGTGCACCGTGAGTGGTGACGGAGAAATGAGGATGGGAAAACTGTACTATGTAAACTCAAACCGCAAGTAGACATTGAGGGTAAAACAAATTATGAGAGATAAAGAAGGATATTGAATAATGATTGGTTTTATATACTGAATGCTTATGTCCCTACAAAATTCATATTTTGAAATCCTAACTTCCAATGTGACAATATTAAGAGGTGGAACTTTTAGGAGGTCATGAGGGCAGAGCCCTCATGACTGGGATTAGTGTCCCTATAAGAGACTCCTTACCCTTTGCATTATGTAAGGCTACAGTGAGAGGATTTCAGTCTGCAACCAGGGAAGTGGAATCTCAGCAGACACTGAATCTTGACGGTATCTTGATAGTGGATGCTCTGATCTTGGACTTCCCAGTCTCCAGAACTGTGACAAATAATAAGCCATCCAGATGCACAAGGATGGCCTAACACTCAAGTAACAATCTCTTTAGACTGACTCAACCTGTGTCAAAATCATGGGTGCTTGGGGGAGAAGGGAAAACTGAGACGCTGCTTCTGAAATTTATATGGATGCAAAGGGTAAAGAGCAGTCTATGCAATGCTAGAAAAAAAAGTTGGAATACTTAAACTACTAAATAGCAAGACTTATTATAAAACTATAGTAATTAAGACAGTAGTGTTGGTGCAGTCTAATGTAACAGAATAGAGACCACAGAAACTGATCCACTTACATAGTCATGGTATTTATGATAAAAGTGACACTGCAATACAGAGGGGAAAAGACCCTTTCTTTCTCCAGTAAGTGGTGCTGGTCAATTACATATTCACGTGGGGAAAAATGGGTCTTGACTGCTACCTCTCACCATACACAAAAATCAATTCCAAATGAACTTCAGAGCTAAATATGAAAAGTAAAACAAAAAAACTTTTAGAAAATAATACACACAAAAACATCTTCAGGACTTAGAAAAGATTACTGAAATTAGAGAAACCACTTACTACCAAAGGAAAAATAAATGGATAAATTAGGTTATAGAAAATTTTTAAATTCTGTATTTCTAAAGTTACCAAGAGAAAAATAACAAAACCCAGAATGGTAAGATATTTGCAATATATATATTTTGTATATATATTTATAGCTGAGGAAAGGCTGATATCTAGATACATCAGCCTTTAGAAAAACACAGACAATTCCATCATTTTTTACAAAAATACACAGAAGTCTTGAACGATTTAACAAATGAAGAAAATGAAGTACTCAACAAACATGAGGATGATCAACTTCATGAGTTATCACGGAAACCAAAGCCAAAATGAAATATCACTACACACTCTTAAGAATGACTAAAATTTAAAAATACTGATAATATAAATTTTAGTGAAGATGTAGAACAACAGAAGTTCTGAAATACTGCTAAATATCAACTGATAAACTGACTTTGGGAAATGGGAAGTACCTATTAAAATGAAAAATACACAAATCTATGATATAGCAACTCTACTCCTAAGAATATGCCCAACAAAAATATACACATGCTTGGGAAAAGATGTAAAATATTCATTTCAGCTTTACTTGTAATTTTCTAAAACTAGAAACAACTCAAATGTCTGTCAATACAACAGGTAAATTGTGATACATTCACAATATGGATATCTCTACTGTATAAAACAACCAATAATGAATAAGCTCAACTGCATGCAACAATGATATACATCTCACAAAAATAATGTTGAGTGAAAAAGCCAGACACCAAGAGCACAGTATTTATGAATTCTATTTATATTAAAGTAGAAAAACAGGCAAAAATAAACTGTGTTAGATGTCAAGGTAGTTTACCCTGAAGGGCAAAAAAGGGGACTTAAGGAGGCTTCTGGTTGCTAATGATGTTCTGTTTCTTGATTTGGATGAGGATTTTATGAGCATGTTCAGTTTGTGAAAATTCACTAAGGGGCATACTTACAACATGTATACTTTACTATATGTATATCATACTTTAACAAAAGTTCTTAAAATTTAATTTACAGGAATCACAAAACATCATTTGTATCATCCAATAGTAAGTACCATAAATTCTAAAATTGGCTATTTTAGTCCCAATTTTTGGCCAATGAAATGGAAATTGAAAAAAAAAGGATATAAGAAGTAGGTAAAAGATAAGAATTAGAGAAAGTAAGTGAGAGAGAGGAAAAAGAAAAGCAGAAAGGAAGGACAGAAGGTGAATCAGGCTGAGGAACTGGGAAAACACCATGTTTGACAGAGGGATGAAGCCTTAACGTATGAAATGATTATTGGTTCTTGACTATTTACAGCTTTTCATAACTGTGAGTTTTAATTATTTGAAGGCTCTAAACTCAATGGTAAAAAGAAATCTTCTGTGCCACAATAGCAACTACAAAGTTAATGTCATTCTAGAATTTTAATATAGATGAATCCAAGAACAAGTACCAAGTATTCTATATTGTTTTTTTTTTAGTTCCAGATTTTCTTTTAGTTTTAAGAACTAAAAGTCCTAGAATCAAGATTTATACCAACACACACACACATTTCATATAGTTGGATAACAAACCTGCTTTAGCCTTCTCTTTCTTTTTTGGTTTGGATTTTGTGTCATCTTGCATGCTGTCGTCTGTACTTTGTTCCATTGAGCATAATTCATCTTTTTGATGAGAATCTGAAGTAACTGCTTCAACTGGAGATTCTTTCTTTTGTTCACCTTCAACTTTGTTATCAGAGATGTTCAATGTACTGCAAATGTAACCCAAGTACAAGCCATTACAGATATATTATTATTATTACTATCCATGGTAAGCAAAGTAAACAGTGAATAGAGGCAAGAATAATCCTAAAATCAGTATTATTTCCTGCTAGGGGACACGTTTTTTATGTGTTAAAATGGTTATGTCAAATTAGTACTATGGGTATTATTTTATATTTGGTGAGGAGTGATATATACCCCATGAGGCAAATTAAACTGAGTTCTAAACTCCAGGGAAAAATTAAATTATTTTATGAACAATATATTTAGTTTTACGTAGAAGTGATCAAAGCATCCTCACCCAGATGCTAAGTAAATGATTAGTCAACAAGTATATAAATCGCTTTATTTAAAAGCAAAAAAAAAAAAAGTATTCTAAGTTTTTCCTTTTTTCAAGAGGCTTCAGATATTCAAATTTTGATTTCTAGGTAGAAATTAATTGCTTGTGTTTTCCAGTGGCTAATGTGCTATTATTACATTTTCAGAAAGCTATTATTAAAATTTAAATCTGCATCCCATGAACTCATAAATGGGAAGAAGTAGCAGCATAGAAGCACAGTGAGTTGTAGAAAGAAACTAGTCAAAAAGGTGTTATAATTTGTCAGGTAAAAAAAATGCATCTAAATGATAAAAACCTGACTTGATATACATGTATATATTCATATTTGGAAAAAAAGAGGTTGAGAAATAAAAAGATTATAAAGAAATATTTCAAAATCAGTCAATCCAGAAAGCCATGTCATTTTATCACATCACCAAATAGTATTATTTAAAGAGAACTAACCATTGCATTGTAAGCCATGGTTTTATTTCAAATTCACAAACTAACCTTATTTAATAGTGATTGGCTATGTAATAAGAGTATGGCTTACAAATTCATACCAGACATAGTAGCTATAAGAGGATTTATAATACACTATGGTGAGCAGCCTATATAAGATCGTCCCAATGATCCCTGCCTCCTGATACTGGTATCTGTGTGTCATATCCTTCCCTTGATTGTGGGCTGGACCTAGTGACCCACTTCTAATAGACAGAAAATGACAAAAGTAATAGATGCTATTCTAAGATTAGGTTCCAAAAACAATGTGACTCTCATCTTGCCCTCTCTTGAAGACATTATTCTGGGGAAACCAAGTGACCATGTTGTAAGTAGCCCACGTGGAGTACATGCGGCAAGGACTTGATGTCTCTGGCCAAAAGCCAGTCAGAACCTGATATCTGCTAACAGCCAAATCAATGAGCTTCAAACAGCTATGTCACTTGGCAGATCTTCCCGCAGCAATGCCTTGAGATGACTGTAGCCCTGATTGACACCCTGATTGCAGCTTGTAAGAGATCCTGAGTCAGAGGCACCTACCTAAGCCATGCCCAGATTCCTGAACCACACAGACAATAAATGTTTGTTTTATGCTGCTAAATTCTGGGGTAAATTTTTTATGCAGCAACAGATTATATATACTAACATGTCCCTGAGGCATAATCTATTTGCCCTCTTTCTGTTAACCAATGGATGTCTAGCTTTTAATAAGAGGGAAATTATTTTTAGAAGAGGATATATTGGGAAATGGCCCCTGAGCACCAGGGACTAGTCAAACACAGACTGTTCCTACTGAATATTCTACAATGAGAAAATGTTATTTGTGTAAGGGAAAAATGCTATATTCATATATTCAAACAGGTATTTGTAACTCAAAAAAAGGTTTCTATTACTTAATAAGCAGTTTTTAGAAGATTTAAGCAGATTTAAGTAAGTAGTTTCAAGTGAGTAGTCTGGAGCAAGACTGCCATGGTTTTGGCTCAGCTTCTTACTGGTTAAACCCTCAAGTTTCCTCATCTGAAAAATAGGATAATAATATTACTATCCTCCATAGGGTTGTTACAGGAATAAATGAGTTAAACCTTGCAAAGCATTTAGCACATAGTATGGTGCTTTGTAAAAATTAGCTGTATTTATTGTACTGGCAATGTGTCCAAATGAAAGATTGTAAGAAATTTCTTTGTGAAACTACACGTAACACTCAAAAACTGAAAATAATAGAGAATTTTTTTAAGAGCATATTTTATATTTATGAACATAAAATACCTTGTTTCAGCTTTAGACAGGATTGGAACTTTTTTTTTCTTTTTTCTTTTTTCACTGCTGAATTTGTTGTCATGCAATGAAGCATCTGAGTGAAAGTAAGTCAACTGTTCTTTGAGTTTCTTTCTTATTTTCTTCTTAAACTCCTTTGCCATTTCTTCTGCTACTTGGAGTTGGTATGCTTGCATCAGCTCTTCTTCCTCATCTAAATTATTATTTTCCCTTTCTTCATTTGCCTTCTCTCTTTTCTGATGAGCAACACCTGGCTGTGACTTTGTTCGTGCTTTCTGATGTGTAGAATCCACCTTCTCAGGAGTTTCCAGTTCCATTTCTTGTGCAGTCACCTGGAGCACTGTTTTTATAACCTTTTTATTTGTCTTTTCTTGCTTGTCTTCCTCTACACTAACATCATCATCTGGATTTTTTAGTTTGTTTTTAGTGACTGGCATACTCTTCTCTGGTTTACTACTGTTAGTAGCACTTACATCACCACTTTTAGTTTCTTTAGTTTTCTGAAGATTGCATCTAACAGTGTCAAGCTAGGAAAAGAGGATACAATAACAGTTTCAGCAAAACATAGTTGTGTTCTATAAAGATAAAGCATAATGACTGGTACTCAACAATGTGTAAATTGGGAAGATTAATTTTTTTACTTGAACACAGTGCTACCATTCTAGAGCATCTGACGAGCATTTCCCTAGTTATTCTCTCAGTATTAGATTAGTGATCTCTGAGAGTGACTTCAGATTAAATGAGTTAATTAGGAAAAAGTACTTAAGAATTTTTGAAAAGTGAATTAATCACTCAAATTTCAAATTCTATTTTTCTCTTTGGCAGAATGATCCATACTATAATTGTAAGGTATTTGAGAAATTGCTTTAAAAGACCCACTGAGTTAGAACATTTCAGGTTTCCCATAGAAAATACACACAGGTCATTTACCTTATTTCATAATTACATTTTAAAACTAAAAGTCTACTGTAGGATTACTCTGCAATTAGTCCAAATGTATTACTGAAAATGCTAAGTATTAAATGGTTACAAGTTAAATCAAATGACAGACTAAGCACATACCTGTACCTCTTTTACCAGTCAAAATTATTTAAAATGAGAGATATTTTCAATAGGAAAAAGATAAAAATAAAAAAAGGAATTTTACTAGTTATAAAATAAGTGTTTTGAGCAATTCCCCAAGGATAAAAAATAGGCAGGATCTATTAAGAAACTACCAGAGAATACTATAGCCCATAGAAAAGACTTCTCCAGAGAAAGGGTGTTTTTGGAGAAACAATATTCTCACAATCAAGAAATACAAGAAGAAGGGGATATCTTTTAAGTATGATGTTAGCTGTAGGTCTTTGTTAATGTCCTTTTTCAAGTTGAGCAAATTCCCTTCTTTTCTTTTTAAGAGTTATCAGAATGGATGACGAATTCTGTCGTCCTTTTCCTGCATTTATTGAAATATCATTTTCTTTATCTTTTGATATAGTGAATTACATCAATTGAGTTTTCTAACATTGAAATAATGATGTATTCCTGAAATAAACTCCACCGGGTCATGGTTTCTTCTTCTTTTTATAAGGTTGACTTCCTAATATTTTATGGAAGATGTTTACTCTATGTTTAAAAGGGGTATTGGTGTAGTTTTCCTGTAGTGTTTTTGTCTGATTTTAGTATCAGGGTAATTAATAATTGCCTCCAAAAAGTTGGAGAAGTATTCCCTCTTTGTGTATAGTCTTGGAGGAGTTTGTATAGAACTGATATTACTTGTTCCTCAAATGCTTGGTACAATTTACAATGCAGCTTCTTGAGAAAACTAGCCATCTCATTTTCTTTGTGGGTAGGTTCACCTACAGATTCCATTTTTAAAAAAGATATACAATATTCAAGTTATTGATCTCTATTGAGTTTTGTTAGTTTGTGTCATTTAATATATGCATTTCATCTAAGTTACTAAATTTATTGTCATAAAGTTACCCATAATACTCCCTTACTATTCTTTAAGGTCTTTTACATCTACAACAATGTATATATTCCTAATATATTACTAATATTGATAATTGGCATCTTCTTTCCTTTTAGTCTGGTTAGAGGGTGCAAAAAAGGGTTAATCTAGCAGGCTTGGGTTGCTCAAATCTTGCAAATCCCAAGACAGGTTTGTTTTTCAGGATCAGCCTTTGAGAGGGTCTAGGGAGCTGACCTCTCAGCCTTTGGAATGTTGTGGTTGACAAAGGTGAATGAATACTTGAATCAAATGAAGGATATTATTGACAGCTAGAGAATCTAGAATGTTTTCTATCCTTTAAAATTAATTTAATACACAAAACAAAAACTTTTAGAAACTGTTATTCATAAAAGAAGGTATCACCTCTATGAAATAACAGTTACAAAGATAAAATGACTGAGTGAAATCAAGATATAGAATAATTTAATGAACAGACAGAACATGACATATTTTTCCCTTTAATAGGCAAAAATACAAATGCAACTTCAAAATTAATAATAGCTATACTTTAAATGTTTATTCTCTACTTAGCAATTTGTATTTATTTGTTCCAGTTACTACTTCTGAGTATCAAATCACTCCAGACTTAGTGGTGTATAAAATAATTTGTTCACTATGATCTCAATATATTCTCCTTATTTATCATGCCCCTCTTATCTTTAGTTCCTGGTGCTTTAACTCCATGAACTGCCACTTCAATCATCTCTTGCCATTTTCATATATTCCATCCATCACACTTATCTGGCAAAACTCTAGGCACTGTTCAAATTAAGTGATTTTCATCTTTTTAACTATATAACCAGGCTGTTGAATACTGCTGGCAAAACCCAAACCACCGCAAAAATGGGTACTATTAAAAAATATGGTCAAACAACTGAAGTGAGATCTTAAAGCTACTAGATAATTCTTTTATGTTGCATAATCTGTTCATTTGTACTGTTTTATGGCTTCTCCAGTTGCTATTTCAAGCTTTCTTCACTATGTCTTACATCCAACATTATCATTTCCTGACTCACTTTCACAGATAAGAGCCATCATATGGGAAGCTGGAAATTTCTGCTACCAAGTCTACAAATGTTCTGTGGGAACACTTATTTGTAAGTCAAGTATTTTTAAGTCTCCTCATTTTTTCATTATTTCTTTCATTTTAGTTTTAGCCATTTCTTCCCATGGAAGAATGCCTCAAATTTATCTTCCACATCACTGATTAAGTTTTTCCATTGTGTCAATTCTACTATTTTAGGCCTGAGATATAGTTTTAGGGAAGCAAGTGAAGGTAGAATGTGGAGAGACTGTGGTTTTTAAGTCTTATCTATTTTTGGCCCTCACAAACATCTTTGTTAAGTGGTTCTCTGTTTGGTATAAAATTCTTCATGTGTAAAATAAAATCCCCAATACCTATATTTCATGATTAATATGAGAATTAGAAATAGTATTTGTGAAGTTCTTATCACAGTGCCTAATATATGGCAGAAAATAGTAAGATGAATCTGCCATTATTATGAATCCTCTTATGGCTTTTTCCTTGCTTAATTTTTCCATTTCAGCTTGCTTCCTTTTCAGTCTCAATCTGTTCTGTACATTCCATTCCTTGTTCTATAGAGTTCCTATGCCTTCATTTCTTATTAAAAGTCCTTCTGGATTGTAGTTAAGACAGTAGATTCTGCAGTCAGTCAATATGAATCCTGGTCCTCCTACTATGTAAATTGGGTAAGTTATGAAACACCTCTGTGATCCAGTTTCCTCATCTATAAATGTAGATAAAACCTCATAATTTTACTGCTATCTTGAAAATGTCCATATATATAAAATGTTTACAAGTGTGCTTAAAAGATAGCATTTAGTTATCTAGTAAATAAAGCAGGTATTCCTCCTCTAGTTCCTAAAGTAAATCATTTAAAAAGTATTTTACTTTCCTCTAAGACCTACAGGATCCCCTTCTTTTGAGCTAAAAACAACTCTTCCTAAATATTTTCCCAGTGTACTTATTTCTGAATAAAAAGAGAGCATGAATGGCTTCATTTGTGCGAAAGAGGCTGGGTAGATTATGGTCAGTCACCTCACACTTGTGTGTCCCCAACATCAGGTAAAGGAACCTATCTTTTACCCATGAACCTATCTTTTACCCATTTTCTGGTTGTCAATTTAATTAAGCAAATCTGGCCTAACATGCATCTGTTCATGCTCACAAAGCCCAGTTAAAACAGTGAAAAAAAATATGAGGTCTATGTTGGCTGAGTCCACAAAAATATACTGCAGACAACTGTTTCCAGGGTTCTGTCTTTTGCCCAATGTACACCTTATCCAAAGGAGGGGCAGATATCAATCTGCAATACTTCATCTTCAATATGTTACTATTCCAACATATCACATATTGGTACCACCAGAAGCACGTTCTGTTTTAGGGCAGCATCTACTATGGGAGACCTATCCTGCCCTTGTCTGTCAGTAGTGCTAAACTGGTTACTATGCAGTACTCTGGTTACTATGAACCCCTCACATGCGTGCAGCTATATTCTGCTCAACATTAGTATTTATTTTTGATTCACTTGAGGATATATAATATTACACAGATGGCTGCCAGATAGAACACTAAAATGAACAGGTGGCATGACAAAATACAGAATAGAGTAAAATTCCCTACAAATAAAATGTAGGATGTAAATAACTCATAAATTCCTGCTAAAGAAATATTATATACCAATTACTAGAATATTCATGAAGTTATTTGTTTTTGCATTGCATGTGTGTGAGAGGACACAAGAGATTATGTTCAAAGGAGTAAAAGATGTAACTGAAATACTGAGACAGGTTTGAAGAGTGAATAGTGCATTAATTGTAAATACCATCAGATTGTAGATAATTGCTGACTACTTTGAGTATTGCTTTGAGTTCTGTATTTTTAATCCCTTCAAGTGTGCTGCCAATAATTCTATCACTTGAAAGTGTATTTCGAGTACAAAAGTATAATTATTGCCATAAGGTTCCACTGATTTTACTTGTTTCTGCTGGTAGAAACAGAAGAATAAGTCTAAGTAAAAAATGAGTCATTGAATATCTAAAGTGAGATATTACTTCCTAAGTTCTTCACAATTCTGGGCTAAAAATCTTTATTTTCTTAAAAAATATGTAATACAGATAGTTTTGAGTTTCATCTTCCCTAGTCACTCTCACCAGTTTGTCTATGTTATTCCTGTAGGACAGCATTTAAGACCCAATACTCCAAGAGTGATATTGATTCCAATGTAAGCTTTATTTTTCCATGTTTTTGAACATGAAATAGATTTCTTTTTAATTTCCAAAGTTCTTTAGAGTTTTAATATGAAAGTTGTAATTTTATGCAGATACATTAGTCACCATTATCAAATGATCAATTACTCACTGAGATTTTTTCTCCAGATTTGACAATTTTTTTCTTCAGTTTTTTTCTTTCACATATTAGATCATTGTGGGTCTTAAGTGGTTCCTCAAAGCAAACTTCCGTATTTACCTTGGCTTCACTCTCAACTACAAATAACAAAGATGTATGTCATTTTCTAAACAATTGTAATATAACACATACCTGCATTATTATTATGTTAAAGAGCACAATCTTACAAAAACTTGCATGAATTCTCCAGCTACACAGAACAACTGATCAGTCCTTCCTTCTTAAAAAACTTTTCTTCGGCTTTGGTTATACCTCACTTACCTGTATCCCTCTTATTCTGTACTCCCTCTAAAAGAGTATGCTTTGTTAACTTCTTTCTGATGATGCACAGTAGCATCTACCACTGTAGTTATGTGGCCTTAAACAAGTTACTTAACTCTCTAAACTTCAGCTTCCTTATCTGTGAAATCAAAATAATCCTATGTTAAAGATCTATTTTGCATGAAAAATGGCTAACACTTGCCTGGTCAATAACCAGCATTTGACATGTATTAGAAGTCTAAAATTGCTTTTTCCTTTAAAACATAAATCAGATCATCTTTTTCTCTTGCTTACAATCTTGTGAGTTTCCCATTTCACTTAGGATAAAATACAAGAAGTCTTTCACTTACCAGCCTGCCTACCATCACAGCTTCAAATCAAGAGAACTATCCCCTTAGGCCCCTACACTCTAGCCATACTGCCCTTTTAGTTCCTCTGCCAGAACAAGTACATTCCCTGTGAAGCTGCTTCTACTTAGTGCAAACTTCCTTTAAGTCCTCATCTTTAAGCTGTCTGTTGAAATGTTGCCCCTAAAGTGGAACATTTCCTGACAACCTCATCTAAATTTCCCTCTTTCTCACACAGCAGAGTGTTGTATTCCTTCACAGCACTTAACCCAACTTGAAACTGTACAATTATTTGTATATCTAATCATAAATATACTGTCTGTTTCTCCCACTATAGTTTGTAGTTCATAACTACATCCCTTGCTGCTATGATGGAGTCTGGCACAAAGAAACTATTCAATAAACTTGTTTGGAGTGAATGAATGAATGAAAGTCCCAGAGCCGGTGTTGGTAAATTACAGCCTGGAGGACAATCACCTATTTTTGTAGTGTTACTGAAACACAGCCATGCCCACTCTGTTAAAAACTGTTTTGGTTGCTTTTGTGATTCAATGGCAGAGCTGAGTCGTTGTAGCAGACAACAAATCTAAAATTTTCACTAGCGTGCCCTTTAGAAAAAAGTCTGCCAATGCCGGCTCCAGAGTAAAACATCCATTTTGATGGTAAAGAATAAAAACTAACCATATTACTTTGTCCAGCTGAGTCCTAAACTCCCATCCACTGAAAACATACTAACCTTAGTAACCAGAATTAAATAGAAAATTGAATAAAAGACTATTAAATATCTCTAAATGTAGTATTTGGTTGATGACATTGCCTTTATTAATCGGTCAAAGAACCCTTTAAAATAATCCAAACTTTAAATTAAAAAAAAATACGTATGACATATATAAATTTTATAAAAGTCTTACCAGTGGGCATATCTCGGCTTTATGGAGAGCACTGAGTTGTAATCAGAATCCTATTAAAACAAAGAGGATTTACTTGTAATAACAGAATTTCCAAACAAAGTAATAAAATATTTTTCATGGAAGATCATGTCATTGTTTGTCTACTATCTCATCAGGTTCATACCAATAAAACCAAGTTCTCTTATCCCAGTCATATGCAAATAACTTGAAATATTTGAATCAGCTTAGAGACTGAAATAAAGTGAATAAAACTGGATCACATTTGAATAAAATATTCATATATCTGAAACAAGAAATCAAAAAAAAATTTGAAAGGCAATGAACACCTAACTTGTATGCTAATACACTTTTAAGAGTGTTTTAAGTAAAAAACGAACATTTCAATGCACTTTTAAGAACAACAACTCCATTTCAGGATTGACTTTCCCAAGAGTACACACTGTTACATTAGTAAAGTATGCCTGTGGGTAGCACATTTACAGACAGTGAATTTAAATATCTTTGTATCTGCCACTAAAAATGCCACAACAACAGAGAAGGTTAAGCACAAGCATTCCTATCATCTTCTTCAAATAAATTCCTGGATGTGTATTATTGTGTATCAAAACCATGGACAAACTCAGATATATGTTCTTGAATTTTCTATTTTATTTAAAAATGGTGGGGTAGGTCCAAAACAAACATACAATATGCAAACATTTTTAAGATTAAAACCGAAGACTGTTAAAAAAAGAGAAAGAAAAGAAAAACATACATTGAGTTGCCTCAGCAATTATCAGCTAAAGCTCCAGATCCCTGGGGACCCACATTCAGGTTTCTCTGGTATTAAGAGTATTTTGGTATTTTTAACCCAACTATAATAAAAGCCTGAGAAGAGATACTAAAACAAAAAAAGTATTTGTACAAACACATGTAATGATATGAGTTAACTTATTAACAACTATCTCATACACAGACAAAACAGACATCACTAAATACACATAATAAAAAACTCCCATGCTTTATTGATAGGAGCCTGTATTTACTCTTTCTAGTAGATACAGATCTAATAAGCCTGGTCATCTACTTCCTAATATCCCAAATTAGAAAAGAGAGAGGATACAAAAGCAAGTACATCAATAACTGAAATGTGACAGCACATAAGTAAACAAATGTAAAGCAAATAAGGACTTAATAAGGATTTAATATTTATATTATTCCATGGTCATTCATTATCCAGGAAAACAGCCGAACTAATATTATGACTATGAGTAATCAAGAAAAAACTTACTTATATTTAGCTTAATCTCTCTTTTCCTCTGAGCAGAAAATGTATGACATTTTAGACATTTTAGGCCGATTAAATAAAAACTACTGAAGAAGCAGGACAAAGAGTCAACGATGATTCTTGTTTCTGTAAACAGAATAAGCCAGTAACATCATTAATTAAAATACAGTGCAGGATAGGGCAGGTATAGTGGAGCAGTTTAAAGCCCAAGTTCTGGGATTAGTTTCCTGTGGTTACTTGTGTGACCTTAGGCCATCTGTTTCCTTATCTGTAAAATCATGTCTAATGCTACCTTTTCAAAGGGTTGTTATAAGGGTTAAATGACTTAGAACAGTGCCTTAGAACATGCATCAATAAATATCACCTGTATAAGTGTAACACATACTTCTAATAGGGACAGTAAAGTTAGTGGGGCATGTTGAGGTTGGTTATTTTAAGGGTATTAAGTGGCTGCAAGCATTGGCTCCACTATCTGACTCTGAATTCAAATCTCAGTTCTACCTGCCAGTAGAGGAAATCTCTATGGACCTCAATTTCCTAATCTTACAAAGGAGAATAATAGTAAATAATTCATATGGTTTTTGTAAAAATTAAATAAGAACATGCCGTAAAACACTTGGCACAATGCTTAGAGCATGGCAAGCCCTTCTAAAATGATAGCGGTTGTTACTGTATGTGTGTGTGTGTGTGTAAATCTACATTTAAATATATATACATAATTCGATTATGTTTGGTAGGCAATAGAATACAATACTCCTGCAAGGAGATCTACGATGAACATTTGGGAATCTTTCACATTTGTGGTTACAAGAAAAAAAAAAGTACCAAGGACAGAATTCTGGGAGCTTACAAAATAAAAAGACATCAGAGAGACAGGTAAAAATTTGGAATAAGTAATGAAGAGAAAAAGTGTTTTAAGAAATAAGCGTCTCTATTGTGTATAGTACCAAGAGATACTGCCAACTTTTGAAGAGTGTCTACTGGATTTGCGATCAGGAAGTCACATGGAAAGGCAGAAATCTGGCAACCACAGGTTAGGGAATGAATTCAAGGTGAGACCTGTAGAAGAAACATGTAGGTAATTCTTCCTACAATTCTGTTTCCAACTGTCTTCCCCTACCCCAAAGGCAGTGAGAGGCAGCAGCTTTGAGGGACAAGACGGCTATGGAAGTATTTTTCTGTTTAAGATTGCTTCCATGCCTCCATCACCCTTCCCTTTTAAAATAATAAATCATCCTCTACACTATAAACAGAGGAATTTTCTAAACACAAACATGATGATATCAATTCTTTGTTCAACAATCTTCACTAGCTCCCAATCACCCACTGGAAAAAATATGAAACCCTGACCATTAGGGTCCAAGGCTACTTACAAAATGACCCCTTGCCTTTCTTTACTTCCAATCCTCCAGCTACACCTGAACACACATTCTGTGCTCCAGTCATGTGAAACTACTTACAGGCCCTCAAATAGGCCAAACTCTTGTCTTTGTATCATTGCATATATACCTTTGTCTCCTGAGAAAACCCTTTCTTATCCCTAACAAACTCCTAACTATCCTTTGACACTAAATGCAAACAGTTATCTTCTCTGGGAAGCATTCTAACCTTGACATGCAATTACTTTTCTGTGCTCCCCAAGTATCTTCACCTTCATACCTTCCTCTACTTCAGCCCTGAATTTTCACCCCAGTACAATATTCTATGACCCCTACCAAATAGGCCAGGCCTGTGTTCTCTTCGTCTGTTTTTCCCATTTAAAAAGTAGAGTGGGAGTGGGCAGTAATAGTTCTAGAATCAGAAAGACTCAGGCTCAAGCTCTTGTTTTACCACTTACTAAATGTGTGGCCCAGAGCAAGCTACTTAATTTAACTAAGAGTTGTTATTTTTGTTTTTTGGGTGTTTTTTTTTTTTTACTACAGCACCTACTTTATTGTAAGGAGAAAAGTAAATACTGACAAGCACAGTGGCTGGCACATTATAGGTGCTCAGTAATTACTTTATATTCATTATTATAGCATTTAAAAACAATATGCAATAGATAAAAAGCATTAAGTAAATTACATGTTTATATTATTTACCATTATTTATTTAATGAACAATTGACTAAACACTAATATTATTTGGTAACACAGCAAACAGACCTCAAAACCATCTCTAAATCTTAATGTGTACTATAGTAAATATATTATAAAGTGACTATTTGATCAGCATCATTGGCAAAAATTAACTTGAAACTTAAGATGACGTTTCCTGAACCTCATGTATGCCATTATTTAACGCTTCTCCCTCACAATCCCTTTTACAGGAGGTGCCAAGAGGTACTGAACAGGAAAATTATCTGCACTACGTTTCTTCTTATTTTACTTTTACCATAAACACCTGATTATCAGCCAATAAATGACTACAGATCAAGGGGAGAAAAAGCAGAGTTGGTTAATTCACCCCTTAACCGAATTTTATAGCACGGGAAAAAACAAAAACTCTGTATACATAATTCAATTAATAAATCAAGATAGGCTCCGTAAATAAAGAAGATCCTAAATATGATTTTTAAAAAACTTTTCGTAATTGAATTTCTTTCCAATCTTACAAAAAAAATTTCCTACAGTCCTTAAAACAATCTTCTTCCTGAAAGTCCAAGCAATCGTTAATGCAACAGGTGAAAAAACTGTTAGCATCCGTTTCTCAAAAAAAGGAGAAGCCATATACTACAGTCAGCAGATGTTTTCACAGTAATGCTGAAATGAAGCACAACCATTTGATAGGGATTCTTAGTCTACGTTTATTTTTTTCTATTTGTATACATAACGAAACGACCCTACTAATGTAATTAACTCTTTTCTTGTAAACGTACATCGATCACTTTTTCTCAGATGTAATTAAGAAGGCGTTTCACAGGCTGAAGATGCAGCACCAGGTTGACACCCTAATAGAAAATAAATGGTGCGCATCTGACTTAAACGCTTTTAAACCAGAATCGGCAGTTGGGAAGGCAAAGATTGCGTCCACTCTTCAGGACATCCCGCTGAACGCTCGGGAGAGATGAACCCCAGAAGAGGAAAAGTACGTAGCAGTATCTCTCAAAAACCACATCCCTCCGCTCCGCGGAGCAGTGCGGCCCCGCCTGGCCTCCCGGCACCCCGTCCCCCGCGCCCTCAGACCTGAGCAGCTCCCCAATCCGCCGCCCCGCCAAAAAGGCCGGGGCAGGCCGAGCGCCAGGCTCGAGCTCCCGCCACAGCGGACCTAGAGCATACTCACGCAGAGGACAGCGCAGAGCGGCCGACAGCCCGTCCCGCCAGCGCAGGCGCCGGAGGCCGTGCGCAGAAGCTCCCCGCGCGAGGCGGGGCGGGCCGTGAGGAAGGCGACCGCGTAGCCACCACAGCTGCCAGCTGCCCAGGTTCTGAGAGCAGGTCAGCTGCCGCAGTGCGGGCAGCGCACCGCCCGCTGACGCCAGCGCCTGCCTACGCCGCCGTCCCCATGACAACCGATGCGTCCCACGTTCCCCGCCTGGACCTCTGCCCAGCCTCGGCGCCCCCAGCGGCCCCGCCCCCGCACCGCCTACGTCTGGGTCCGGAGGTGCCGCAGTGCGGCGCCGGCGGAGGCGGCGAGCGCGCGCTCGCTTGCGGGGCCTCAGACTGCAGCTGGGCACGCGCTCTGGGAGCCGCGCGCGGCGCTCCTCACGCCCGCGCGCGGAAAGCTAGACTCTGACCGCATCCTCTCACCCTGGAGCGGGTTGGCGGGGGGACCGTGCGAACACGTGGGCGACCGTCTGAGCCTGAGGCCAGTCCCTGCGTCACCCCAGAAAAAGCGCCTGGTGCTCAGAACTGTAGCCAGCGCGGGGAAAAATGGGAGAGGGCCAAGCGAGACCGGGAGGCTGTCGTGGCATCCGCCAAGGCGGAGAAACATGAATGAGGCAAAGAAACAGACGTCCTCAGCCAAGAGACTGCGCCTGCGAAATGAAACGTCCTTTTAAGGTGAGGAATGAAGAATTGTACTACAGACCAAATCTTAAGGAACAAATTATCCATGATTCTTCTGGCGTTGAGTTATTTCACTATGTGATTAAAGCAGAACAAAAAGAAAAACGTCATCTCTACACCCAATGCCCCCTCCCACTTACTGACTCCTGCCACGGGCGCCATCTTTAGCTCTGACTCACCAGGGATGGAAAAACACAAGGCAAATCACTCCTCCAACACCCGAACTTTCTGTAGTTGAAGTCGTGCGCTATAACCTGTTGCTTAGTTTGTACAGTGAGAGAGTTAGGTGTATTTCTTTGGAAGTCAGCTTTTCCATTTTCATTGGCATCCCACGCCGGCATATATCATTTGTTTCTACAAATCCTATGAGAAGACAAATAATTGTCAATTCAGTGCATCCCAGTCTGAACTGTCAGATTTCCAGTTAAAATCTACACGCCATTCTGGGTTTCTATTTTGGTTTAAGCCACCACTGCCTTCCCATTTTCCTAGTTAAATGCCTGTAGAGCATCCTAAATGCCCCCTACACCAAATTATGCCCATTTTACCTTTCTAGTCATTTTAACTTCCACTGCCTCATGCCAGCCTTCATAACTTCTCACTGGGATTGCTGTGAGACTGGTAAAGGCCTCTTTACCAGTGCCCTTCCAGTTTGGATCCCTGAATTCCGTTCTCCATACTGCTACCAGAATAACCTCACAAAAAATGTAAATCTTGATCATGCCACTCTACTGAAAATTCTTCACAGGTGATCTGTAGGAGAAAAATACTCTTTTGCCTAAGATAAAAGACACTCCATCTCGCTGACTGGTTTCATCTCTCATTGCCTCATTTCAGTTTTATGCTTCAGCAATATTGCATTATGTGTACCATGCAAAACAATCCAAATGTTCTCATACCTCAGTTTTGCACATATTGTACCTACTCCCAGAAAAATCCCTCGTACCACATATTGTACCTACTCCCAGAAAAATCCCTCTTTGTCAACGCCTGTTCCTCTATGTGTCAGCCCAAATGTTATCCATCTTTTGAATCTTAACCAGGTTGACTAATCCCTCTAAACACTCCTATCATATTCACTGTTATGTTTCGGACACTGATTATATAAATTATATTTTAATCATTATATAAATAATAATTTATATCATGTCTGCATTATAATTTATTTTTTCTAGCTCCAGCATCTACCACAGTACCTATCAAATAGTATTCCATGAACATTTGTTGAATGAGTAATTGGTGATGTATATTGCTCTCCTCCTAGGAGCTATGCTTTATAGGTGTTTTATGTACTTTTCATCTGTTCTCACAACTGTGATGTAAGTACCCACTTTTACAAAGAAGTTATAACTCTGGCTGCTCATTCTTAGTCAGGTATTTTCACAACACATTCCCCAGTCCGTCAGCCTGGCTGAGAGGTATACCTGCTATCACCCTTACCTGGACCTTTATAATAGCTTGCAGAGGTGGTAGTGGAGTGGAGGATGGTGGGGTGTAGTGGGGTGGTGTCAGGGAATGTTTCGTAGCAGAAGTGACATTTAAGTAAAGACCTAAACAATGTGTAGAGTTGTTCTTGTTAGAAAGGGTTCCTGGTAGAGAAAGGTGAACAACAATGCTCACTAAAAGAAAGTTTGGCATAATCCAAGAACTAAAATAAATTAAGCATGGCTGACTAGGTCAAGAATGAGGCTAGAGGATTTCAGAAGTGAAACAAGAAAGATAAGCAAGTTTTGAAGAGATCCAGACAGTAGTGTGGGGTCAGTGAGGAACCATTGAAGGGTTTTAACCATGGACTAAAATGGTCAATTTTTAATTTCAGAGAGGAAATTCTAGCTATACTATAGCAAATGGATGGGAAGAAAGCAAATCTCAATCCAGCAATATTAGTTAACATGCCGTTGTGGGTCATGTAAGAGATGATAGTGGTAAGGGCAAATGTTGAAGCAGTCAGAATGAACAGAAGTGCACCAGTTGGAGAGATAATTAGGAGGTAGAAATGTCAGGACTTGATTGATTAGAGGGAGGAGTGAGTGATAGGAAGGAATCAAGAATGATGACCAGCTTCTATCCCTTCTTGCCAAGTGAAGAGGTAACAAAGCATATCAGGGCCGTGAAGGTTACATGAATGGGGAGTGAGGTAATAAATATATTGATGCTAATAGGAGCTAAGTTTTTCCTTAACAGAGTAGGGAGTTACAAATAGGAACAGGAGGAATTCTGGATGACTTTTCTCTTGTAGTGGCATTGCATTAAAATTAGATATATTAGTGTGAACTCACAGTTTTCCATGTATCCATAAATACATAAAGAAACAGATAAAAGTGTGTGTGTGTGTGTGTGTGTGTGTGTGTGTGCTACCTACCTATCTACCTATCTATTATCTATCTATCTATTTTTTCCCTTACTGTCTCTGCTAAAAAGTTCTAGGAACAATGATATCCTAGAAGCAATGAGTATTCAGTGCGTAAATCTTGGTTTCTAAACACCATTCTCCACTAAAAGGAACTAGAGCCTCTCTGGAGAAATGGCTGATTCAGAGTGGGGGCAGGGAAGTGCAACATGTGCTGGAAAATCTTGTTGGACCAGAAATTAAAGAAGTTCTTACAAAATGATGGAACATATCAAAGGGACACGGAAGCCAGCTTGAAGGAGCCCCCATCGACTACATCCTGTGTCAACCTAAGCACCACTAGCATGTTAATAGATTATGATGCACTGAATAAAATAAGAATATGAGTCCATACTGAAAGAAATACATGAATTTTTAAAAATGGAAATAAAGAAAAGCTCTTTCTTACATTAGATTGCCAACTAAAAAACAGAAGAATGATATAGATAGAACATCACTATTTGGCAACCGTTATAGTAAAAACTGATTCAGGCAAGAATCATCAACATATGCTAAAACTGGAGGGTGAGAGTTTTAAGAGGAACATAATAGATGATATGTAGATATATAGGCAGATATAATCTCAAATTATCTCCTGACCAAATCCTTACTAATAACAAAGGGAAAAACAGAAACTTGACAGTGCAGAAATCTGGCAATGGTGACTAAAGTTACCATCCCCAGTAATAGGACAAATCAACATCATGTGCCACCTGGTAAAAGACACTTAGAACACGCTTCTGTGATATTCCTGCCCAAAATGCATAACCGGAATTTAATTGTGTGAAAAGATCAGCCAACCCTAAATTGAGGAATATTCTACAATATCATAGACCTGTTCTCTTCAAAAGTGTCGAGGTCATGAAAGAGGAATAATTAAAGTACTTTTTCAGATTGTAGGATATTAAAGAGACATGACAACTAAATGGAACATGACCCTAAATTGTATCTTTTGCTATTAAGGATATTATTGGGGCAATTGACAAAATTTGAATGGGATCTGTGGACTAGACAGTAGTATTTTAACAATGTTAATTTCCTGATTTTGATGATTATACTCTGGTAATGTAGGAGATATCTTTGTTTCTAGAAAATATGCACTCAAGTATTTAAAGATAATGAAGCTTCATGTATGCAACTTACATGGTTCAGAAAAAATATGTAAGTAAGTAAATATAAATAATATATATAGAGATAAACAGAATGAAGCAAATGTAATATGTTAACAATTGGAGAATTTTGGCAAAGATGGAAGTTTTTTATACTATTGCTATTTTTCTGTAAGTTTAAAAGTATTTTAAAATTATAAAAAAAGTTGTAAAGGTACTGAGATTTCTGGCTTAAGTAACCAGGTAGAGAATGGCTAATTGATTAATTAACAATGGAAAAGGAGGAAGAGAAGGTATGGAGAAAAAGATATTTAGTTTCAGTGGGATATGTCCAGGTGGCAGTTGAGTATATAGTAAACATGAATTATTCATGAAACTCATTCAGAATGGAGAAAGTAGATATGTCACTTTTGCTCTCACTAGCCGAAGATGCAAGAGTGAGGTCACTCTACTGGTACTAGGAGAGACAAGCAATAAAGGGTAGTTTGGTAATAATAATAATAAAATTGGCCAACTGTTCATGGAAATAGATTTAGGGTATTCAAATCATTTAATACATTTTAAAATAGTGAACTTACTGAACAAAACAGACATATGGTGGATACACAAAATATTTATCCCCTGTACAGGATGTGTGCACTAACCAGTTAGAACAGATGTTGGTGTTACTGCTTGTTTTAGTTTGCTAGGGCTGCCATACAAAATGCTGCAGACTGTGTGGCTTAAACAACAGAAATAAATTTTCTCAAAATTCTTGGGGTTAGAAGTCCATGACCAATGTGGCTGGCGGGGCTGGTTTCTTCTGAGGCCTCTCTCCTTGGCTTGTAGGTAGCTGCCATCTCCCTGTGTCATCATATAGTCTTAGAGGTATCTGCCTGTGTCCTGATCTCTTCTTCTTAGAGGGACATCAGTTATATTGGATTAGAGCCCACCCTAATGACCTAATTTTAACTTAATTACCTCCTCAAAAATTTTATCTCCAAACAGTCACATTCTGAGGTATTAA